TCGTTAATTATTAGATCAGATATCACACGGAAACTTCCTCGATATCACCTTGATTTATCTTCGATTGATGTGATTAGAAATGAGTAAATATATATATATATATATATAGAATTCTCTTGAAAATTGTCATTAATCTTCATAATTAAAGGTAATGAATAGAGATCATGTCATGACCGCGTTGCAAATGCCCGGCATTCTATTTCGTTCCTTAAAAGATTTTTATAATTATAAATTATAAATTATAAACGTAAAAAAAAAGAATAAAAAAACATAAAAATTATAGATAAAAAGTCTCGTGTAAAGTTGAATGAAAAAAATATTAAGAAAAAGAGTAAGTCGGACAAAATAATTAAATTTTGATGTAAATTTTGATATAGTTAAGACCGAATGTAGAAAAACGTGAGATGACTTTATACTATTGATTTTATCTCACTGTTTTCTAATCTTTACGCAAGGGGTAAAATATAAAAAAAAAACTATTATTAATGGATAAACGTTTACGTAGCTGTGAGCGTCTCCAAAATATCTTCGGGCGATTTTTTCATCTTACGGAAATTCTCCCAATGCTCCTTCGGTACTGTCCATTCTAGAAAAATTTCTAAGTTTCGAGTGAGAGCCTCAAGCTCGGACAAACCGCTCCTCATGACCGGTTCTTTGCCAGCATTCACCAGAGAATCCTGAAGAACGTCGTCGATAAGACGTTTACCGAAGCCGAGCTCGTCCAACCGTTCCTGCTTACTGATCCTCTTCAACAGCACTGCCAATAGCAACCGCATCTTCTCCACCGTCATCAGTTTATATTTCGCAGTGACAGAATTCTTCTCGACGATCTCGGAGCAGCCAGCCGGTTTACCGGCCGGAACGCCACCATCGTCATCCTCCACCTCCATCTCTGGATGACAAGTCTTCTCATGACTTTCCAGATCGCTTTTAATCCTGAAAAAGCTCTTACAACGCTTGCAACCGTATGGATCGCTCCTGCCATGTATGCACTTCATATGCTTCTTCCAATGTGGCAGTTGAGTGAAGCCGGCATTGCATTCGGGACACTTAAACGGCCGTTCCCCGGTATGACGTCGAGTGTGCAGCTTCAGAGCGGTCGAATGAGCGAAAGCTTGCCAGCAGACTAGACAACGAAATGGCCGCTGGCCAGAATGAGTTCTTTGGTGCACGGTCAATTGGGACTTTTGAGCAAATCGTTGGCCGCACGTAGCACAGCCGTGCGGACGGTCGCGCGCATGTGTCCTCATGTGTTGTGGTAGGTGGCCCTTAAAGGTCTTGTTGCAGATAGCGCAGAGGAATGACTTGACGTCACGGTGCAGGCATTCCAGATGTTTCTTCAGGGCGTCGCGTCGCACGAAAGCGCGTCCGCACAGGTCACACTTGTGATCCTTCTGGCCGTTGTGACGTTTCAAGTGTAGTGACAGATTGGCCGCGCACGTGAAGGTGTTGGAGCACAGCTTGCAGTGGAACGGTCTGACCTGGCTGTGCGTGCGACGGTGCTGTACCAGCTGGCCACCCCGCGCGAAACTTTTATCGCACTCCGGACACTTGTACGGTTTGAAGCCGGTATGTGTGCGCACATGCAGTTTCAACCGTTCCTTCAGTGGAAACTCCTTACCGCACTCGTCGCACTTGAACACCGGTCCAGCACCGTGTACTACTTTGTAGTGATTTCGCAAACCACCGCTACCCTTGAAACGCGCGTCGCATACGACACAGCAGTATTTCTTCTGAGAATTCTGTTGATCCTTCAATTGTCTGGTCTTCTCATGATCAGTTCGCTTTCTCTTCGTCTTCTTCGTTTCCGCAGCAGCAGAGGAGGTGCCAATGTGCTCTACGATTTTGATCTTTGATTCATCGGAACCCACAACGTTATTATTTTCGCGCTCGAGCAAGTAATTCGCTTGAATGATGGCGTCGATCTTTAATCTCAGCTCCTTTTCGGGAATGTCTTTCTCAGTAATGCCATGTGCTTTAAATTTTTCTTTCTCTACGTCAGAGATCTTTTCAACGAACGTTCCCTTTCCATCAAATAATTCTCCATCCGTGGTGGGATAATCCTCACAAAAATCCTTACGATTGATCGCACCCAGTTCCTCTGGCTCCAAACTCGAGTGTGGATCCAACGGTTCCCGTCTATATACGTAAATCTCGTCCTTAAAGCAGTCTTTCTTTTCCAGGTCCAAGTACAATTGTTCGTCCTCATCTTCCTCGTCACAGTGATGTTCGAATTCTTCGTCGCATTCAGTAGTATTCTTCCCAATCGATTTCTCATTCATTCCATAATTACTTTCCCTGTCGTCATCCTTCTTCTTGCTTGACGAGCTCGTCAGTTTCCTTTTCGGCGCTTTCACGTGAGCGATCTTGCTATTGTTACGCACTTTCTTCTCCGCCACCCCGCTGTTTTTCTCTTCATAAAAATCTACGTTTTTAACATTGTTCTTGATTTCTTTCGTTTTTTTGCGACAAACCTCCACTCGTCGAGGTTTGCTGCCATGCTTGCTGCTCCGACGTTCCAATTGTTCGACGTTCTTGCAAAAGTTGAATTCTCGCAGATTAAAGCTATCGCCATCGCTGCAATCGCCCGAGAGACTCCTAAGTGCCCTCAGAGCGTCGGTCGCGTCGGTAGCGTCGGTATCCTTGAAGACATTTTCTCTGATACGCGATTGCTTTACTGGGAGCAATTCAGTCAGCTGCACTTCTTCCTGTGGCTGCTCTGGCCCGGTTACATTATTCAAAATCGTTTGCTGCTGCATGCTAATCATCGCGCCGTGCGTCCAGGCAGCCCGGACTCTGATAACGCCTCGAGAGACTTCGACGCTCGACTTCGATTATCTCTGCATACTGTATGTACGTGTTGATCGCCTGCTTTAAAATAACTCACATTGATCATTGCGTCTTTCTTCGATCAAACTTGTAAGCATACGCTGCTACCTCGAAGAAACATGTCAATAGGTACATTCGACAACGTGCAATATAAGTTCGATGCAATATAAGAGATTCTACTAATGGCGAATTATTCAATCTGTGAATTTATTATCCATATAATTTACGTATCTCCATATCAAACCGAATGAAGTCGCTAGGCATCGATGTCGCTTCACAATCCGAACATGGTGATCGAATACGATGTGCGGGATGCGACCGTGACCCCGATCATTATCAATGACAAAGTAAAGAGTTTGAAAAAATCCAGCAGTTTTAGCTATCCATTCTAGAGTAGCCGCACTGTCTTAATGACCAGCACCGGGGCATTGCCAGATCCAAACTGGTAGCGGCGCGATCTTTCTCGAGGAAAACTCCAGATTCGTCTTTTATCAGCATGACGAGGTCGGAAAGAGCAAGAGAACAAGAGAGGCGGAGAGGAGAGAAGAGGTGCGCACACGCATAGGCGTTTATAAAACGCGGTCCGCTTATCGTGCTCTTATCGTCCCGATATACTTCGCCTGCACCCCCCTCCGCCTCGGACCGCCTGCGGGTTTTCCCCGTCCCCCGTCCTCCGTCCCCTGGTGACGATGACGAACTCACAACGCGGTGCCGAGCGGAGTCGAGCTCTCCGCGAGGAGAGCGCCCGGACAGCTCGCTTCCGGAAGTACGGTCCAGTGCGGGCGTTGGAATCACCGTGTTGTACACCCGGCCTCTACCGGCTCTGCCAGGAGAAACCGGAAGTCTTCCCCGAATGGTGGTAGTAGCAGCCCGTTTCTCGTCGACGTGACGATCGACTGACGACGGGGAACAGGAGGGCTTTTCCTCTTTCGACGCGGAGGGCGCCGTTGCTCTCTGGGAACGACCGTACAATTGCGCTCGCGCCTTTTTCCACGCAAGCGCAATCCTCGGTCGATATCAGCTCCGATGCAACCCCTCCCGACGATAACCGGTGCTCCTCTTCCTCTCTTCCACCCCTGCTAGCTGAACCCCCTCGATTCTGTCGCCCTTCCGCGTTTTTCCAGACGGGTTCTAGTCTTGCTTCCGCTATCACCTTCTTTTCTTCCTTCCTTCCTTCCTTCCTTCCTTTTTTCCTTCCTTCCTTCCTTCCTTCCTTCCTTTCTTCCTTCTTTCTTTCTTTTTTGCCGTCTGCGACCTCTCACCTTTTTCACCCTGCTGTTTGCCTGAACAGAGCACTTACCGTCGCTCTACTTCAATGCTAATTCATTTCCGGGGCTCCGAATAGAATCGAAAATTTGGAACGTATCTCGCGTCTTATCCCGTTTTTTTTTCTTTGGTTTTCATTAATTTTAATATGTAAGTGGCGTTTGAATCTCCATAGAATATTCTCCTTTAGATTGATTTATTGTTTTCTCTATGTATAACTTGATCGCTATATTAGCTTCAATCGATTATTAATTTTTCCGATAATGGAATATCAGTTATAATTATCGGCATATTTATTTAATAAATGTCAGAAAAAAATCATTACATCAAAATGTAAATTCTCTTTGAGAACTTCATTTCTTTGACTATGCATTTTCTATTTCTTAATGAAGCAGCGATTAAACAATCTATAGAAAATGGAAACATTTTCTTTCAGTACCATCGATTTGTGCAAAAACTATGATAAATCGCGAAAGGCTTTTTCAACGAAAGGGAATCTCCTCGCTCTCTGTGGTCGCTGAGTTGGAAACGCTGACTCGTCCGGCCAACACTGCATCGATGTTACCAGAGAACTCGACTACCTCGTCACAATTTTAGTGCCGTCGTGTCGCCGATCGATATCCTCGAATTCATTTTCTTCTGTTGATTATTTCTCAAAAGGCCAGTTGCACTATTTTTCATTTAATTTGTCGCACTTCAACGTAATCTCTAATACTCAAATGGCACTTGGATAACACTTCGATTAAGTCTCTCGATTCTTATCTATCTTATCTCTAATTACTCAACGTTGATAAAAGCTTCATAATCGATTTTCTGAAATTCAATTTCAAGCGACCGTTCGCTTTTGCTTTTCGTTACTCCGAACATGTCGATTTTCTTTGGAAATGTGGAGGAACTTGGTATACGGAATTGAATTTTTTTTTTTTTTTTTTTTTTTTTAGTACGATATCATCACGACGAGGAAGATGACCGTCGAGAGATCCCTCTGAATCAGCCTAGCTATCTTGTTTCTATATTTACACACTTTGGCTTGGTTTCTCGCATATGTCGACCCTTATCTCGATCAGAGCGTCACGGTTTCCTTTTTCGCCGATTCATTTCTCTTCTTTCTTCCATTTTTTTTCCTCTATCCTTCTGACTAGACGTTGACGAGCGAACGAGAGTACGTTAAACGCGCGTTAATCGCTATTTAGGTATCAACGTAAATGAAGGACGAGCGGATTATGTGTGAGTTAGTGTTTTAACCACTGCGCACCTCGACGGAATCTTGAATTAGCGGAAAACCGGAGGAACCCACCACCAGATCTGAAAGAAATTAGAGATACCGGAGGCAATTCTTCGCTAATTCCAATCATCATATTATTCGATATTAAATTGCGGAAGCCCATCGATATAATACCAGCCTCGTTTAATAATAAATATTTACGAATGTTAGATAATAAAAGGGAGATGTTATATAAGTAAGCATTAAGAATTACGATATAAATGCATATGATGTGTGATTAGTTATTTATCGTTATTATGAAAACTTCTAACAATTAGTATTGATAAACGTAATAAAAGATATAAGATTTCTCTTTTTAATGAACATGACCTTTTTTTACCTAATATCAAAATTATTGATATTCCAAAAATTATCTTCGAATAATTAAATAATGATCGAATACTAGATTTAATTTGACTCTAAGCAATATAATATTATGCAATGAAATACAATGTTATTATTTCTTGTTCGTTTCATTTTGAAGCTTAATCCACGATTCTTTCGCGTTCGACAGAATTCTTCAGACCTTAAGGGTCTCTCGAGGGTAAATTTTTTTTCAAAGTTTCCACCGTGGGGAAGCGGAGCGTGCGAATGCGTTAAAGGTCTATTAAAATTTCACACGATCGACGGCGGGACACCTTATACACGAAGCGGAGGCATTGATCGCGGAGGCGCATTTACATCGCGCGATTGAAAGCTCGCGCGTTTACGTGACCCGATCTGCTAACCGCACCGATCAATTTTTGTCACCATCGCTGACGGCGAGGCGTGCGACAACGGCGTAATGCTTGCGGGCGAAAAGTGGAGCAACCTGAGGAGCAGAGAGACACGGTTAACGAGAAATATAAAGCGCTGGCAATGCTTCGTTAACAAAATTGCGTCGCGCTGGAATTGCAACTCGAGAAGACGTCAAGTTTTCTCACGAAAGTTTGAATTATAAAGAATTCTATTCAATACAAATTTTAACGCAACATCGGGGGAGAAATTTAACACTAGAATCGACTAATGATATATATCATTGATATAATTATACACCGTTGGAAAAAAATTTGTCGATCTAACATAAGATAAAAATATGTTAGAGAAGGTAACATAAATATTATTTAAAAAGAAACAAAAAATAATATTGACAGTTTGTAAATAAAATAAAATAAAATATGTGGAAGCATATTTTTTTTTAGTAAAATTAACATTTATGATATATTTTTTAAATTAACACATATTTTATTCATTCATCTTAAAATTTATGCTTCAAAACACATTTATTTCTGTGATATTTGTTCACTTACTCATAAATTATGTAATTTTGACACTAAAAAATGCCGAATATTAATAAATAAATTGTGTAAATAACAATTGCATTAAATTAACGCTCAAATATGTTAAAAAATTCAACACAAAAATTTAACAAGGACTCGAGTGAACTATTTTCAATGCAAACATGAAATGTTTTTTATCGTGTACATTAATAACATATTAAAAACAATAACTTATTTAAACATAGAATGACCATTTAGTCTACAAAGATACACTGAAGAAAAAATATACTAAATTTTAATAAATATTTATTTCAATATTCTAAATAAATACTTACTAAATGTAAACATATAATTATTTGATACAAGGACTATTAATTTGATTAATAATCGTTTTATCATAATTATCATTTTTTTCGTTGAGTAAATATTTATTTGCTATAAGTTATTATTCCACAAGAATTATGTATTAAGATTTAGTAATTTTTTTTTTCAATATAACAAAGAGAGTAATTAGTAAGATATTCTCACAATAATTTGATAGCAATTAAGGAACGTTGTTCCATTGTTCCTTAGCATTACACAAACTGTAACACGAAGTAAATAAATAAATTATACATAAATAAAGTAAAACGGATTCTACAGAAGTGTTCCACGAATCACAGAATTGTCATTAAAGTAAGAAAGTTTGGCTTTTAAAAATTCATTACTCTCTCTCCGATAATAAAGATCGGTTACGTTCGATCTCGGATGTTTTCCGCTCTGCTCCTCGGCGTAGCTGACGATTCGGTAACGCGAATGACCTCCTCCGATCTTTCTCCTCGTCCGTTAGTTTAGATTAGGCTTTTCAAGCGTGTGTGACGCACATGAACGCACGGATGTCACGTCATGTCACGTTGCGTGCGGCACTCACACGCGCGCGTCGCTCCCGTTTCTCGCTGTGGCATGGATCCGTGCTGATCTGTGCGCATTGAACTTACCAAAAGTCACGACGGGGATCGCGCGAGATTTCGTCGATCGCGCCGCCCGCCGATAGTTAGTTACCCGCCGACAGGTGCGAGGCGCGCACACGTGATACTCACAATCAATCCGAAACGATTCTGCGAACGTGGCTTGCTTACTCACCGGACTCGACCCGAGCGGGTGGCTCGCCCCGATACTCCACGGCTGTCTCTATCGGGGGGAAGAGGTTGCCTTGCGATGCGCGTCTCCGGCCCGACCCTACCCTCTAGTCGCCATCTTCGATGCGTCTCAAGCTCCGCCGAGAGCTGAGCTGTCACGCTGTGAGCCGAGCCAGCCGAGCCGAGCTGAACGCGGCCGAGACGTACCGGCGAGCCCGGCGGAGTTTAACGTTCAAGGGGGGATGAAGTTACAGCGGTTGATAGTACGGCCACGTGACGTCCGATGGCGCGACGAGCCATTTTCGCGACGAAAAACAAAGCAGCTAAAAACCCCTACAATCCTCTCTGACAGCATTTCCTCACATTTTCTACTAGGAAAATTAGCGCAACACTGGTGCAAACACTGGTTTGAATGCAAATTGATTTATATATTTTTAGTGTTAAAGTAAATAATTTAAGTGCAAATTGATTTGTATTCAACTACAGGGTGCAGCGTTGTTCTATTTTTTCCGGTGGAAGACGCTATGATCTCTCCCCTCCTCTCTCTCTCTTTCTTTATTTTTGATAACCCAGAAGTTTTATCGATCATTGTTGAATCCTAATGCTTATTTTTATTAAAATATGCAGATTAACTTTAATTTTAATTATTAATTTAATTTATATCTTTTTCTAGTCCTAAGAATTAAAAAAAGGATATAGAGTAAATATAAATCGTATCCGTTCCCACATAATTTTTGTTTAAAAAAAAAACCTATGTTTACGAGGACAGTCTGCAAATAATTCTCATCCTCTACTAATAAACTTCATCCCAGATAACATTCATGTTACATAAAATATCTAAATCGTCGTCTGTTAGTTATTTTATATAGCATATATATTTTATATAACATATATATTCCAAGGAGAACAAGCAAGTTAAAATAATGTCATATCGACCGAGTCATGATGAAAAAAATGCCATAAATTCTGCCAATAATCAATCATGATAATCAAATATGATATCAAATTGACATTGTTTTGACTTTCTTATTCTCCTTGGGATATATTATATCCAACTTTATCTCGATTGATTTTTTTATGTCGTCTACAAAATACGAAATAAGAAGTAAAAGTAAAAAATTGACCAATCAGAGTCAATTATTCTTCTTACATTGGACTATGATTGATCAATTTTTTACTCTTATTTCTTAATCAGTGTACTGTAGACATTACATTAGAAGGGTAGGTTGAATTATAACAAAAAGGAAATATATATGCTGAATTTTTTCAGAAGTAGGTATAATACTTTTGCGAATACTAAGCAAGAAAGAATACCTATATTATCTTTCTTGCTTTCTTATCAATACGATTATTGTTGAAATTGTTCCTTGTGTCTCGCCTGACAAAAACAGTTTAGATAGATAATTAATGCTTAAGCAACAAGTAATCATTAGCGTTCGAAGAATCGTCAGATATGGACGTCACATCAGACGTATTTATTAACGATGAGAACAAATAGAAAAGTTTTCTTACAAAGAGTATAAATAGGATATTTCCAAACAGAACACAAGTCATCATGATATCAAAATGACTTCAAAATTATCAGTATAAAGTCACTTTTTAATCATTCTATTTACTATTTATTTTAATGTCATTTTAACGTTATCACGGGATTTCATACTTCAGCGCTTAATGTAAATGATAAAAGGGGTAAATATATAATAAAAGCATCATAATAAAATATTTTGAAATGCATTCATTATAGCCGTTCGATATCTATTCGTAAAACATTCTTCAACTGAGTATAAGAATTAATGATTTCTTTATTTGGAAAAAATAGGCACTGTCGTTGGTGAATACAATAGATTCCTATCAGTCACAATTTTCGATCTTATTTTTTATATATATAATATAGAATACAAACGACTACAAAGCTATCAAAGCTCCGATTAATTCAACTAGCTATTAATTCAGGATAATTTCTAAATCTTAATTAACATAAGCAATTATCTTATAAAGCAGTATTAATGATATTTCGTTTAATGCAGATAGAATTTTTCATTATTTAACTTTAATCCATGAAAAGTAAAGTCGAATTAAAAGCGATAAATTACACAGTTAGAAATGTTGCTGCAAACAATTTTACTATTAGGTGTTGGAATTAATTCGTAGCGTTTTACAAGTGATGGGAAGTACTTTCATTAATGTATTTTTTAATGCTCATGTGAAATAAATAACATTCTTTCATTAAAAACGCTACGAATTAATTCCAACACCTAATAGTTCAATCAATCGTTGAGTAAGTTGATCGGAATTTGATCACTTTTGATCAATTGTTTGTAGCTAAATGTTAAAAATATAATATGCTCTTCTTAATCTAATCTTTCTTTTCGTTTGTCAAACGATAAAACATTAAGATAATTCGATCTATCTAAAAATATTAAGATACCTATTATTTTCGACAAATGAATCACTGGTTACATTAATTAAAATTTGACCGAAATTATCCTAATATTTTTTGATGATTCGAAAGTGCAAAAATCTGACTACTTTTACAATCGCATTAACTACGTTTTACACGAAAAAAGTCCAAGAGTTCGTGAAAAAACTAAGTGAACATCCAAAGAACGTACACCAAGTTAAGAAAATCTCAAATAATGATGCTTTATTTTAATGCTATGAAAATCAAAATGATGATTTTTGGTTATAAAATTTGACTATTTATTAAAGTTACGAATTAAAATAGTCATTTTGATTTTTGTTAATGTTTTTATCCTTGGGACATACTATTTACTTCCTAAGTAGAACACGGAGTCATAATCAAGTCATAATGATATCACAGAACGTCATTTGATACCTAAAAATTGATTTATGAGTGACAAATGAGGTCATGATGATATCCTCATGACTTCTGTGTTCTACTTGGGCTATGGGTGATCAAGGAACGAGCTTGATAACATTAGCAATACTCGGTTCGCATGACTCACTTTGTTAGACTTTTAAATGCCTGCTGCAAGTTTTATTGCGTGTGGGATATATGTGGGACCGTAATATTCTCCTCGTGATCACCGCTAATGACTCTCGCGTCATTTTGCTCTGAATTTACCGACCTACTTTTTTGAATGGTAGAGTATCGGAGCGATCAGTACTGTGGGCTTCATATCTTATCATAGTTATTATTCTACCTTTATCGTTTGCTCTTTTGTAGTCGTTTTGTTGTACTTTCTGTAAATAAGTCTGCTTTTTATTCCTAACAACAGACGGCACTAGAATTTTTTTTCTTATTTTCAACTAAATAGAAACCATATACCTATTTTGTTTTCAAAAGTGTTCAACTATAGAAAACGGTATTTCATCAGGTGAAACAAAAAGAGAACAGGAAGGAGACAGAGATAAAGCATTTACTAACATTCTAAGACAAGTCTTCTAAGAATATGCAAAAAAAAAACAAGATTAAAAAACAGCAATGATTACAAAAAACATAAAGAGAGAAGATAATTAATATATATAAAAAAAAAACAAGTAATGAAGAAAAAATATAATAAAAAATATAATAATGTAATATAACATAATGTAATATAATAAAAAAATATATTTTTCATTATACTAAATTCAGTAATATATTACGTCCGTTATAATAATATACTTAACGTGCAATCGTATTTAAAAATTCTGAAAGTAATAAAGCGTTAAAGCGATCGATCGTTTCCACGATTAGATTATTCGAGAGAATTGTTATTCCAAGCATCTCCTATCGCGACAATCTCGAGGACATCACATTACGACACCGCGATTTAAATGGACCTCGCGCACGATCGCGACCGATCAGTGACTTGAACGCCAAAAATCCGCGCCGAAAGCTCGCTCTGGCGAGATCACCGAGTCGGTCGTCACATGGTGATTTCAACGCTTAGGGCCCGATATTTTCGTAGTCTATCGAAATGCGATCCGGAATTGAAAGTCTAGTTTATCCGTCTGTATTCACGTTATCGAATATCGAACGATCGAAAGAAACACACTGAATCTACAAAGAAGTATATTAATAAACACGTTTATGCAAAAAGTCTGGACGTTGTGCGAGGTTATTTTATTTGCGAAAGATTGAATTTAAAAAAATCTTCAGCGACATCGGATAAATAAGGATGATATCAGAAGTTACATCTGTAAGTTAAACAAATTTCTTTTTACATTTTACGAAGAAGAATAGTCACATTTTTACAAGATCAGAGCGCGAAAAAATATTGATGCAGGGGCCTTATTTTCGAAGATATCCCATACGAAGATACTAGAGAAATTATAATATATGTAACATATACATATATGCTATAGTACTTTTGTTCATTCTCGTATGCAATATTTTTCGAGAATACGCGTGCAGTCCCAGATTCGCGTAATAAATTCATCATTAGAACCGTCGATTCGAGCGCGAATTCAAACATTCGTGACAAGAGTCGAACGAAGATAAAGGATCTATCACTGTACCGACAGTTCACGATATCGACCGTAAGTAATATAAATTAGTTGGTCGGCCCATCTCGAGATGGCAGCACTAGTATTATTACCCTGCGTTACCTAGAGTAACTTAGAGTATATCCTCACACTTGCGTATCCGCGTAAACGTATGCATAAAGAAAATTATCCAATCGCACCTCTCTCATAAAATCGTACGAAAAATGTGATTGGATAATTTTCTGATACATATGTTACGTGCAAGTTAGTGTGAATATACCCTAAGGCGGGAGTACAGAATCTTGCATAATACATGATGCGTAATAAATTGAATCAATCAAAATCCTTCATTTCCTTCCTTTCCACGGACTCTGATTGATTAATTTTCTTACGTGCATACTTTTCTTTGTGCATTGTTCGTCGTGCAAAAAAAAAAAGAAGTCTGCGGTTTTTATTCCGAAAGCTCGTGGCACCGGCGATCGCACATCGCAGTTCGCACCAAATCGCTCGGTCGCGAACCGAGCGCGGCCGAAGTCGCGCGAACGCGAGACTCGGCGAAGCGAAGTGAACGTAGACGCGCTCGGACAGTGCGCGGCGCGGTGCGTGAACAGTGCAGCGGATGAGCGAGCGAGCGGAGCGTTGCTACGCTGGGTTTGTGGATTTTGCCGATTTTTGCCTCGGCTGTCAAGCTGGAGGAGCGCCCTACTCTCGCGGCGCGTGAAAGCGGTGCTTCGTGAGTGACGCCCCTAGCACGCCTCTCTCT